ATATTGAGAGAGTGATTTTGAGTACAGATGTGCAAGCTGTGTTTTGTCAGCTGTATTAAATTGTAGAGATATTACTGTAGATTACTGTAGATTATTGTAGATTACCATGGTATAACTGATTAATGACTGTTACCTGGTTGTAATTGTTCTGCTATTCTGGTCTTCATGTTGGGGATGATATTAACAAGATAATTACTCAGTTATATTTAAGCTTCACTGGCAAAAGCAAAAGTGTTTAGCAAGATGTGATTTTTTTTTAACATATAATTTTACATGTTTTAATTAACATTAAGTTGGATTGTATCCCAAGTAGTGTTTAAAGTTGTGGAGATTGTTAAAAAGTGTCTCTCGCTGTTACTTCAAAGTTTTGGACTTATACACAGATATTCTGGTTTATGCATTTTTATTAAAATATTTCTACGGTAAGATTATTATATTGTTTTAAATAATCTGCTTTTCACAATTTGGGGTATCATCTGTGGGGCTTTAATAGGCGATTCATTGGCATATGAAAATCAAAATGCCCCCAGGATGGGGCAGATTATCCTATTTGATTAGAGAGTGCGCTTAATTAAAAAATAATTAAATTCATAGACTCATATAGTTAGATTCTTTTGTTTAAACACCAACTAATATATGACATTATTAACTGATATAATTGTAAATAGAGGAACTATGTTATCTTCTTGACATACTTGCCAAAAATAATAAGGAAGTATAACTTAATTTGCCAAAATAATGTCATACTGTGACGTGTCTTCTTGTACTTCAGAACTTTCACCTTTACTATAAATAGTATGGAAACAAAACAATTCTGTTAAATCACCTTGAAATCTTTAACCTTCATCATAGTAATCTCTTTCCAAAAATAATGTTGCTTATTTTGTTTGTTGGATACACAAATACATCCAGATTTGTTTGTTTTTAATTGATGCAGTCTGTACAGAACAACTAAGAAAATGATTTTTATTTGATTATGAATGAAGTATGCCTGTGAACTTAAGCTATCTTTTTTCTGATTGATATATTAATGACATCATAAATTAAAGAAACAGAACAAAACAGATTTTATTTATTATTCATGAAGACTTGGAACATAACAGTTCTTCATCTTTACACATATATACAGCATACATTAAATACAGCAAGTGTGAAAGTACAAACATAATTGAATGATAAAAACAGAGTTGTGTGTTCCAACAAGTTTTAAAGAACAGAACATTGAAAGACACTTCTTAATGCTGCATCACACCAGACCATATTCTTCATCTACATAATTATGTACCAGTTTTTGTGCCCCCACGTTAGTGGCGGGCATTTAGATTTACCCTAATGTCCGTCCGTCCGTTCACTTTTGTGTCGCACGTAACTCAAAAAGTATTTGACCTAGAGTCATGAAACTTTACAGGAATGTTGATCAGCATGTGTAGTTGTGCACCTGGGTATTTTCGTCTGGATATTCAGAGTTATTGCCCTTGACTTAGTAAAATTTTGCAATTTTCAACTTGTGTCGCATGTAACTCAAAAAGTATTTGACCTAGAGTCATGAAACTTTACAGGAATGTTGATCAGCATGTGTAGTTGTGCACCTGGGTATTTTCGTCTGGATATTTTTAGTATTTTCAGAGTTATTGCCCTTGACTTAGTAAAATTTTGCAATTTTCAACTTGTGTCGCACGTAACTCAAAAAGTATTTGACCTAGAGTCATGAAACTTTACAGGAATGTTGATCAGCATGTGTAGTTGTGCACCTGGGTATTTTCGTGTGGATATATTTAGTATTTTCAGAGTTATTGCCCTTGTCTTAGTAAAATTTTGCAATTTTCAACTTGTGTCGCACGTAACTCAAAAAGTATTTGACCTAGAGTCATGAAACTTTACAGGAATGTTGATCAGCATGTGTAGTTGTGCACCTGGGTATTTTCGTCTGGATATTTTTAGTATTTTCAGAGTTATTGCCCTTGACTTAGTAAAATTTTGCAATTTTCAACATGTGTCGCACGTAACTCAAAAAGTATTTGACCTAGAGTCATGTAACTTTACAGGAATATTGATCAGCATGTGCAGTTGTGCACCAGGTATTTTCGTCTGGATTTATTAAGTATTTTCAGAGTTATTGCCCTTGACTTAGAAAAGTTTTGCAATTTTCAACTTGTGTCGCAAGTTACTCAAAAAGGATTTGTCATAGTCATTAAACCTTATGGGCAGGTTGCTCAGCATATTTAGATTTGCACCTGGGGTTTCGCTTGTGGATTTATCCAGTATTTGTAGAGTTATTTCCCTTGACTTTGTAAAAAGATTGACAGAACAGTGGCGCGGGGGTGGGGGGGGCACCCGTGTCCTATGGACACATTTCTAGTTTTATATTTAAATCTGTTAACAGTTTCAGTAAATTCAAAGAAGACTCATATAAATTTAGTAGTTTTAGTTGCCACAGGAAATACTTTCAATAAAATTAATATACCCAGTGTAACACTGACATAATACTAATATAGTGTCTTAAAATTCTGAACAACAAAATTATGGAACTGAGAGTTTAAACATTTCTGATACAAAATTTCTGCTTTTGAATAAAGTCCTAAAAAGTATAAATTAGTTTCATGATAAACAGCTAGAATTTTAAACTTATCTCGGTGACTTCATTATTTTATCTTTTCATGTTGACATTTATTTCAATTTTTGTATCCTTGTATAGATCTATTGTGCATGTGCAGACTATTAAAAAGATTACACTTGTTTGTATACATGTATAGTTTAAAAATACATTTATAAATGTTTTAATCACCTATTTTTGTGTATTACTTACACTTACTGAGATGTTTAATAGTATGGTACCAATCCAAACATTTATTTGGGATTGTAGCTTCAAGTCAGTAGAGCAGCAGAATTGTATTAAGGGTCCATGGTTTGAGTCCCAGTCAGATTGCACATTTTATCTCACTCATAGAATAGAAAAGAATGTGAAAATAAGTGGTTGTAGTTAATTCTTCTAAATATGACACACAATTTGTTTGAAGTCAGATTTTACAACTATATTATAGAAATGATCACCATATTGAGACGAGGTGTTGCATGCAACATTTGGGTCACTACCTTGAAGGTCAAGGTCACAGTATGACCTTGCAGCAAAATTGTCTCCGGCACATAACTTCGTTATTTGAAGTCAGATTTTACAACTATTTCACAGAAATGATTACCATATCAAGACGAGGTGTTGCATGCAACATTTGGGTCGCTACCTTGAAGGTTAAGGTCACAGCATGAACTTGAAGCAAAATCATGTCCGGCCCATAACTTGGTTATTTGAAGTAGGATTTTACAACTATTTCACAGAAATGATCACCATATTGAGATGAAGTGTTGCGCGCAACATTTAGGTTGCTACCTTGAAGGTCAAGGTCACAGCATGACCTTGCATTAAAATCGTGTCCGGCACATAACTTCGTTATTTGAAGTCGGATTTACAGCTATTTCACAGAAATGATCACCATATTGAGATGATGTTTCGCGCGCAACATATGGGTTAAGGTCACAGCATGACCTGAGCAAAATTGTGTCTGGCCCACATTCATTATTTGAAGTCTGATTTTACAACTATTTCACAGAAATGATCAATATATTGAGACGATGTGTCACGCAAGTCGGTAGATAGATCTATTTGAGTGGAAGTGCAGTGCAAAGAACAGTAACTCTGCATTGCCTGAGTTTGGAATTATCACACTTTGAACTTTGTCTGGGACATAACTCTGAAACTATAAAAGATATACCTTTCTGTGTCCAAAACCTAGTATGGGAGCATCATTGGCTTAACCGGCTCTTGTTTCAGACATGATTGGGCACATTAATAAGACAAGTAGTCTGTTTCTGTACACTGGCTGGATAATCCCTCACATGAACAAATTGTCTTCTCTAGCAGGATTTTAACCAGTATCTGTGAGGGGCATATGAGTTTACATCAGTTAACCACAACTCTGACTCTAAAAGTCTGAAATTTCGACATTGAATTTAATTAATACGGTCTTCAGAAATACTGATGTTTCAGATTCATCATGTGTTAAAAAAATACTCATTTAAATTCATCAAGTAAAAAATAATAACCACAACAAAACAAATCCATAAACCTTTAAGGATAACACAGTATTAATTGTTTGCAATTGTTAAATATGCATACATTATGTATATTGAAGTATAAATGTTAAGTATTAAAGGTTAATATTATATAGGTTTGAGGTAAAATTATCTTATTTTTATTTTAATGAACAAGGATAAAAGCATGACAATACATTTGTATTTATTATAAGGCCTATAATAAAATATTGTTTGTTTCTCCTCTTATGATCTACCTACTAAAATACTGCTACCCAGATTTAATTGCCCAACAGAAAAGAGTAACTGTTGCTATTTTTTCTTCCTTTTTGTTTTTCATTCATGTAAATTTTCATGAAAATTTTGGAAATGTATTGAAAAGAAAAATATTGTGAGGTGAACAAATAAAGTAATTTAAATATTGCAATCGGCACTTAAAATCCACGAAAATTTACAAAAAGTGGTCAAGATATGCAAAAACTGTCCTTACTGCGTTAATAACGCAGTAGAAATATGGTGTTAAAATACTGCAAAAATCAGTCGTAAACCGCATATAACATGTAAAATATAACTTGAATCTTGAATGTTTTTATCTTTCTTAAAAGTTTAAAGCATTTTTCTCAATATTGATTTTCTTGAAATATTGTGGCTCATCTGGAGGCAGGCAGCTTTAAATATATTTGTGAGAATAAAATTTTACCTACTGTACAGTATTCTATATCTTACTTACATGGTTCCAGGTGGAAAATATAGATATTCTCAATACTGGCCTTTAACGAATGTCAAAATATATAACAAGAAGGTGAAGAAGAAACTAAAATAATTGTAATATACTCTTTCTTGATGAGATAAACATGGTAATTATTATGTAAAACAGTGTGGTTAATTGTTTGTTTGAGTGTAGGGATATAACTCACTGATGTTTTTTTGCTATAATTATCGCATAAACAGACTTAGTTTTCTCCCAGGAGATTTATTATATACACAAACTGTTACCACATGTAGAAGCTGCTCCATGTTTAACTGAGTCCTTAAATTATGATGATACACTCTTATTTCAGTTGCTTGGATTAAATTATATGTTTATAGTGTATAATATATATAGAAAATAATTCATTGGATAATAAAGGTATTTTTGTAGTTGCTAGACAAATTGATCTTTATTTTTGTGTTTCCCAAGAATTGCTTTAAGTTCATAATTTTATATAGAAACAATGGAAAATTATCCTTAAAAATTATGTATAACCTTGTAATTATGATGCCTTGTTGTGTAATAATGAATCTTATATATAAAATAATTTTAAAGTGTTATTTTATTTTACTATTATCATTCTACCTGGTATGTGAACTACATGTATAAAATTTTAGATAGTTTTAAATTACATGTATATATATTTAGTTTCTGGTTTTGCCACCAGTATAGAGCCATGCCAGCAAGTTTTAGCAGGCTACTGTTTGTTGTAGTATACGCTTAATGAGTGTCTATTCACCTGTAAGGGCACAAGATGCATCTTTCACTCTCTTTAGTATTGACCCCAGAAATATGACCAATCATGCCCTTAAAGGGTTCATTTTGAAGCACAAAGTGGTGATAATTTGCTTTCATGCAATTCTCATGGAGTATTAGATTAAGATTTAAATTTTTTTCCAAATGTAGGTCACTGTACGACGGTCAGTGACAAACCTAAATGTACAGTAACTTTAGACAATATGAAAAGGAGGTAACCCTTTAAAGGGGTGTCGGTGGCAATCATAGGCCCTGTCTTTCAAGCTTCACTCTCTTTATAAGGGGCTAGCTAGCACACATTCCTTGTCATCCCTTCTACTTTGTAGAGCCATTCCTGTCAGCAGTTAACTTCATGCAGACTAAGTTGTGTAGCCTGAAACGTACATTACCCAGAGCTGTAGAAAACATGCGAACTTGCCATCTTAAAAATTGCCATGGATCTTCAATCATTTGCCAACTCTCTGATCCATCTGTGCGACATGTCTACTTTTTGCTAATTAACTTTATATATTCCCAAACTAGATAATAGACCAAAAATGAAAGTCCATTTTAAGAAATTCAGCATGTTTAGGGAAGCTTACATTGTTCTCTTGTCTTTTCAGGAATGTTGATCCATCATCTATAGATGTGATAAGTCAATTTGCTTCATGTGAAGCCTGACAATCAGAAGGGAAAATTTGCCAGTAACCTCAATCAAGTACAATCATGCATCCTGCTATACCTATATCAATGGTGTTCCTGGGCTGTTGCTCCAATGTTGTCTTCCTGGAGCTTATAGTCTCGTATGTTACTACCTTTATTATATTACTATACATGTATGTTACTACCTTTATTTTATATTATACATGTATGTAACCATAGACCGATAACCACAGAAAGGACCAATATCCTCATAGTGGACCTAAAACCTCTTACAGGACCAATGTAGGACTAGTGTTTGAAATAATTTTTGGACATTTACTTTGGTAAATTGGCAAACTGTTAGTCAGTCTAGTAAATCCACTGTTTATGAAAATAATTATAACACTAAGCCAGTTAAAATTTATTAGTAAGCATTTACAAAAATAAATTGGTCGGGCGCCTGACCAATAAATTTTTGTAAATACGTACTAATAAACATTGTACTATACTTAGAGGTTAATACACAGCAGAGTTGGTCAGCTAAAGAAAAAATGGCCCTGAGGGCTTCAGCTCTTCTTAGTGCTTGAAATTATATTTTTTCAGTGAAATTTTTCCATATTTCAAATTCTCTCTAATCAGTTCTAAATTGTCATTTAATACTTTCCTGTTAAATCAGCCTACATGTATCATACTCGCACTAAAGATTCAAAACATAATTTCAACCGCTAAGAAGGTTAGTGTTTGTTAAGTCAGCATTAATTCCATTAAATCTGTTGAGTGCTGCTTTGCTGCTCTTTTCTAAGTGTCATCAATGCTGATTTACAAACATTAACCATTACTAATTTTCAGACATCCTTAATAAAATCCCCACTTTTAATTTTTAGAAACATTAACATATGATGTCACATTTGACTGTTTTTGTCTGCAGATTATAATGATGATCGCAAACTCATAATTAGTGACATAACACTCATAATCAGATGAAAGCATGGTTAAATTTGTTACTATATATAGTTATAAGTGTATTAATAACCTGGTACAGTGGTTGCATAGTAACACAGTAGAATTCCATGTCCTCTTATGAGAGAAGTAACTGCTTGCAAGATCTATAAGTCTTGATTAAAGTATATAAAGAAAGTTGATCATTAAACTTTGCATAAATTGGCAACAGTTTTTTTAAGAGAAATACAGGTATAACCTCAGACTTTTAAAAGGGAAAATGAGGATAAATGAATGGTTAACTTTCTTACTTTCAATGTTCATTTGTGTTTAGGATAGTAGTACATTGTATTTCAGAAACTTGTTTATTCACAGAACTACACCATTTTGAAATATTATAGTATATATTTTACTTGTGATTAAAGTTATGTTGATTTCTTTTTATTTGTGTGTGCATGCATGCATTATAAATGTGTAAGTTCATCAAACATTGTTTGTCTTGTATTATAGAGAGCACCCAGGTGCAGGCAACATCATTACATTTATGCAGTTTCTGTTTGTGGCTGTAGAAGGATTCATCTTTACTGTAAAATTTGGCACCAAAAAGAGTGCTATACCTTTAAAGTAAGTTATCCGTCAATCTTTTCTGTGAAAATTGGCAAAAAAAAAAAAAGAACATTATGTGGTGTAGAATGTTAAGGGAAAAGTTTTCAGTTATTTAAGTGTAGAGCCAAAAGAAAAAGATATTACATTGCAGTATTGTCTGTTGATTTTAGTTATATAAATTTCTTCTATATTAAATTAAAGGAAAATAAACAATGGTATAAACCCATTATATATACAATGAACTCCACTGAGGTATTTTAACAATATTTATTTGAGATTCATGTAGTATTTGATGTACAGTAAGTCTTGAACACAACTTCAGATCATTCACCCAGAAAAAGTTATTATAATTATGAAAAAATGACCCTATAAAATGAAAAATGTTTCAACGCTTTTGACTGAAATCGGGCAAAGAATAGCACAAAAAGTGATTCCAGTTGAATTTTGTGTATATTTGTTTATGAATAATATTATCTTTTGCATATTTTTTCTGTGCCTTAGTTTTATATGTAAGTAATTAAGATTTAAATTTTATGTTCTTATGCATTTTTACTGCAGTGGAGTTACTTTAAAATGCATACTTATTCTATATATGAGATTCAAAATTAATTATTTTAATTATGAAAAGAATACTTTCAAAGTACCTGTTTTTAAATATTTCCTTAAGAGGGAATAGAACATGCACAAAATGAAACAATATAATTTTATTGATATTATTTTATAATACAGATTCATAAAATATAGTTTTATACCCTTTAATATATCATAAAGTATAGTTAAGTTTAATAAGATGATATACTGGTATATCATAATGAAATATCAATCATAGCATTTAACATTTCATACAGTGAGAACAAGCAGAGCAGTCAAAAGCTAGATTTTTTTATGTTTGTATACATCAGCCTTGGAGATATCCTTGGCAGATATTTGTCCATATATGTGATGTTAAATAATGTATTTCCAGTGATAGATATTCTGTGATATATTTTCAGAGTTTATGGGTTTATGGTGATGTTCTTTTTTGTGGTTCAAGTCATCAACAACTATGCTTTCATTTTCAAGATTCCTATGACACTTCATATAATATTTAGAGCTGTAAGTATGAACAACAAAGCAAGGGTTGGTGCAAAACTGTTGTATCCAAAACTTTAAAATATGGTTAATATACTTTTGTTTTACTCTGAAGTCACACTATGAACGAAATTGGGAGAGCAAAATTGTATTGATGAAACAGTAAAATTTTAGGTAAAAAAGTGCTGGAATATGAAAATCTGTGTGCAACTTGTTGTGATTGCTACAATAGTTCTAAAACATGGATTTTGTAACATATACAGGGCAGTTCAGCACTGCTGGATTTTAACAGTCTTGTCACCAACATACATGGTATTAATCAATTTTGTGACATGAAAAAATTTCTTTAATTTTTCAAGTTTTTAATTGCCAACGTTTTTTATTTTAAGACCTTGTTACATTTCGTTATTTAATTTTGTAACATGGCAAAGTTTATTTTTTTAATGCCAAAGTGCTTATATTTTTCGAGATTTTTTTTCCCAAAATTTTTTTTCATTTAAGAAGGGGTTTTCATTTATTTTATCATTCTTTATTAAGCCCGAATCATAGTGTTAGATACATTACAATACATGATGTCACTGCTATTTTTGTAATTATTTTACAGGGATCTCTTATTGCAAGTCTTGTATTAGGTGTTTTCATCCTCAAAAGAAAGTAAGTGAATTTTACTTGTATGTTATTAAAATGATCGTTGTTCAATAATGATAATTTAAATGATCTTTTTTCAATAAGGATAATTTATTATCAGTTATGTTTTGGTATTACTAAGTCACTTGATCTATTAGGTCAAAATATAAGTTACTGTATTTGGTGAGAACTGACTAATATGGAAATGTGTGAGCTCGTCAATTTGTGTGTTAATATACAGTTAATATTTAATTAATAGTTTATATGTAAAATAAATATAAAAACAAAACAAATGTATATACATTAATATAATATGCTATATTAAGAATCCTTTTTGTTTCACAGGTATCCATTGAGTAAATATCTATCAGTGATTTTAATAACAATAGGTATTTGTGCTTGTACCTGGGCGTCTGCTGACAGTCATGTAAGTTCTATAGTATATAGAGTATTAGGTTATTTTGTCTTGGCCATATTCTGTAAAATTGATTGATTGATTGATGGATTGATTGATTGATGGATGGATGGATTGATTGATTGATTATTCTACATTATTGTAAGAGAAGATGTTGTAATTTTCCGTTTGAAGGCAATACTTCAATAGTTACGTGTTTGAGTTTTAGATGACTTATACCTAAAGTATAAAGTCTGACCTGCTTGTTGCCTGTCATCTTGTGCTGTCTTATGTAATACATATCAAGTTATAACACTGTTTGTGAAATCCAAAATGGTGAAATTGGTTGTGTTTATATGCTCTTAAACTGCTTACAAAAGATAATATATGCTTATGTATAAATGTGTATTCTGCTTTTATATATTGTAGGAAATTTGTATTATAAACTAATAAACAAAGAAAGTTAGATTGAATTTATGGAAATAATGATACATACATGTTGTCAGATATATATTTATGTTAATATCATGTTTGTTATTTCAGGTTATAGATGAGAAGGATGAAGACAATTTTGTATTTAATTATATACTAGGTGAGTCATCTGCTTTCATCATGGTTTCCTTGCAATAAAATTCTTTCATTCAGTAAAGACTGTTTACAGTGGCCTTCGATGGGAGAAAAGAAAAAAGGTCATTATAGACAGGGAGTCACTGTGGACAGTCTCTACATAATTCGAATATATATACATATTATACCAATATTTTGTTGAAAAGCAGGATAGTACCATACTAAGGGTTTAATTATATTTTTATTGATATTAAACATATCAAATATCATTTATAAAAAAACAAGAGAGTATTAAAATTGCATGTATAATTGGTTAAGATTATAAACTACACCATAACATTAGTATTTAAAAGTTACATATTGATTAAAAATGTAATTTATATTGATAAATCTGTTTGTAAAAAAATGTTTAATTTCAATTTTACAAATGGGATGTTACTGTAAAGGCATTTAATTTTGTATAATCAGCCTTTTTACTTTACGGAGTTCAATGTATTAATATAACATTAGATACAAATCTTCACATAATTTCTACAGATAAGTGCTCCGAAAAAAATTAACAATCGAGGTTTCGAACATAACCACACCTTTAAGACGTTTGGCATTGTTTATCTTTACTCGCCAAAACACCGCAGCAATTATGTATATGCAGGTGTCTTTAATCTCATTCTATCGGCGAAAATTGATTGAAATATTGACTCAAATACCGTAACGGGTGACTAAATCATGGTCGTTGTACGGACTAGACAGGGAGTCGCTACATACAGACCACTTATATAGTAAATACTGTTCGGCGCACCTAACTTTGGTCACTAAAGACAGAACGTCGCTATATACAGGGGGTCACTAAGACAGTCTTTACTGTAGTTATGTGATGATATTTTTTCTCAAATAAAGTTCTTTTAAAACTGTGACAGTGACTACACATATAATGACTGGTCTAAACAAATTGCTAGTTAGAATTTTAAGGGGGAAAAAACAACAACACAAAAACTTGATAATGTACATTATAGCATAAAATCGGCTATTTTTGCCTCTTTCGCCCATGTTATAACAGGGTAACATAGTCAAGCGCTCTTGTTATTGCCCGGGTATACCTATGCGCCATACATACAGGGACCAGTAAACAAACAAACAATTGACGATTTGGCCTGTTTGCCAAAGAGTCTTGCACTCTTGTTATATTGAAATTATTGATTCAAGGGCCTCAATCGCATAACGGCGATAAGTGCTCTTTATATTTCTTTGAGAGAATGTTTAGTGCCTGAATTTTTTTTATAAACTTGTGTGCTTGAAAAAAAAACTAACTATGTATGACGTTGTTAATTATAATACAGTGATGATTTTACAAATATTTACTTTATAAAATATTCAGCTGACTTTAAGAAGAAATAATTGAATGATCAAAAAATACATAAATTCCACAGGCACTTGACCTGTTAATTGGATGGATCACACACATGATTCTACCCTAATCAAGTACTTGCCTTTTAAAACAAATTAATTTTTTTTGCGCATATATTAACACATACACTTAACATACAGTAACATACCATCAAAATTTATCTTAGCTAGTTTGGAAAAAAAGTAATCATATTGAAACCTGTAATAATATTGTAATATTTTGTTGACAAATTCATATGCAATATTACAGTATTTTAATGTTGATTGTAGGTGTTGGTGTTCTTGTTCTGTCCTTGTTTCTCACAGCCAGGATGGGAATATACCAGGAAACTATCTACAGAGAATATGGCAAACATCCAAAAGAATCTCTATTCTTCAATGTAAGTTTATATCAAGTTTTTCTTCTTTTTAGCTCACCTGTCACAAAGTGACACGGTGAGCTTTGTGATCGCTTTTCGTCCGGCGTCCGGCCGTAAACTTTTACTTTAAATGACATCTCCTCATAAACCACTAAGCCAATTTCATCCAAACTTCACAGGAATGTTCCTTTGGTGGTCACCTTTAAAAATTGTTCAAAGAATTAAATTCCATGCAAAACTCTGGTTGCCATGGCAACCGAAAGAAAAAACTTTAAAAATCTTCTTTTAAAGAACCCAAAGAGCTAGAGCTAAGATATTTAGCATGAAACATCTTCTTATGAGTGTCTACCAAGTTTGTTCAAATAAAAGCCCTGGGGTCAAAATTGGCCCCGCTCCGGGGGTCATTGATTTTCCTTATATGTGTATAGCAAAAACTTAAAAAATCTTCTTTGAAAAAACCCAAATAGCTAGAGTTTAGATATTAAGCATGAAACATCTTCTAGTGAGTGTCTACAAAGTTTGTTTCAAATTAAAGTCCTTGTGTCAAAACTGGCCCAGCCCCAGGGGTGTGATTGTTTTTAACTATATGTGTATAGTAAAAACTTAAAAAATCTTCTTTTAAAAAACCCAATGAGCTAGAGCTTAGATGTTTAGCATGAAACATCTTCTTATGGGTGTCTACCAAGTTTGTTCAAATAAAAGCCCTTGGGTTAAAATTGGCCCTGCCGAGGGGGGGGCCCTATATACAGGTGAGCGACCTCAGGGCCATCATGGCCCTCTTGTTGTGTCTTTCTTTTGACATTACTGTTAATTTAAGTCAGATAGTGTAGGTCATATGGTGACAGTTCAGCTTTCATGGTGGAAGTAGTGTATTCCTCCAAGAAAGGCTGGTTTATGGGCTGGGAGGGGATCATCTCAGTGATTTATTATCATGGAATAACCACCTGTCTAACATAAGCTACCTTTTGAGACACCTAATGCAAGATAAAGGCTTTTTTTCTATTACAAGAAAAAAATCTACAGTTAATATCACTTAAGTGATATTGGAACTTGTTAGTTTTGCTGAAAAGATTGATTTGTGGTGATTTTAAAGCATTTGCCTTTGGAAACCATCAGTTCTTACAAAAAGGGCAATATCGTATTCTATCTGCCAGTTTACTGTTGTCTTCCTGAACCAGCAAACATAGTCCAAAGTTTGATCTTTGTTATCTTGGTTTAACTTAATTCTCTGCAAATTAATAAATATTTATGGATTTGTAATTAATGTAACATATGAAATTTCATTAATTTGAATTTTGACAGACAAGTTTCATTTCTCTAGATCTGTATATTAATATTATTGACAAAGCTCTCTTAAAATCCTGTGACTTGATTTTGGCTTTCCATATAAAATCTGATTTATAAGATATAACAAAGAAAAAAATGTGTAGAATGTAATGTACAATGATTGATTTACTGCTGAAAACATGAAATAAATAAGAAGATGTTTGTCTGGTGTTAGACAATGTTTTATTTTGAATAATTTCAGCATGCTCTACCATTGCCAGGCTTCTTGCTGGTAGCATCAGATATATATAGTCATATAAGTATCTTCAATCAGTCAGGTAACTATCACTTTTATATAGCTTCAATGTATCTGCTTTATGTAGGTAAGATAATTATGGTTTGAGCACAAACCATTTAGTTTATTCAATCTTTAGTTTATACATGTTTTTATAGACTTGTTGAAGAATATTCTGTTTTAGAAACATTTTTACATCCCCTTTGAAGAAGATTATTGGTTGAAAAAAAGGATAAGAAGCCATTCAGTGAAAGACAAAAGAAAGGAGATCATCACACTTTTTTCATTTCAGCAGAAAAAGGGTTGTGTCCTTCTATTAAAACAAACGGAAATAAAGGAAATGGTGCCTTATCTAGTTTCAGCAAAATGTTCATAAACCTGTCTAATAATTGGAGAATGCATAGGCTTACAGTGTTTACTTTAGTAGAGTATAGGTCAACAATCAATTTCGAAATTTTGTCAGTTGATCAAAGGTCACTGTTATCTTGACTACTGTAATCTTGTTTGATAATCATGTTTGATAATCAATGATTGCTTTGGCCACAATCTTCAGATATGATTGGGAAGGTAGTCATGGCCACTTTTGTTTTTAAGGTCAATATAGTTCAAAGATAAAAGGGTTAAAATTGACCTTGACTGGAAAAATTGCCTGATCAAAAGCTAGAGAATGCTTTAGCCTAAAGTTATCATAAGTGATGATGTCTTTATGACTGGAAGGTGACCACTATTGATTGCTATGGGAGTAGAACAAAGGTCAAGGTCACAATGACCTTTAGTACTCCAGCTGGCATACAGTCTTTAGGTGGTTTCACCAGTAACATGACTAGTTGGTTGTCATCAAGGGGCATATATTTCCCAGGAATATTTAGCTTATTCAGGACTATAAATAATCTATAAATCATCTTAACCAGGTTTTTTGGGAAAAAAAAATTTGTTTCTCTTAAAATGTTTTAAGAACTGTCAGCAGTTCTTTTTCTCTGTAATGCTTTTTACATTTTTTAAAAAAAGATTAAAATTGATATTCTATAATATGTATACATTTTAGGATTTTATTTTCCAACTGTTGTTCATATAAAAAATAATTATTATTTTACAGATCCAGTAGGGTTGATATCCCTGGGATTGTCTGTACCAAAGATGTGGTTATTTCTAGCAGGAAATGTTATAACACAGTATCCTTTACAATAATTTACAAAAGGTGTTATTTGTAACTGGATATCTTGTCAAAGACACAATTAATGACTGATAGTTTTTGGCCAAACAGTTCAAACCAAATGCTTTCTAATAAGGGTAAAATATTGGCAAGTTTTTTAAATTTTAACTGTTTCACAGTATATTTCAAGAATTCTCCTTCCCCCTTTAAATTCTTGCATAAAACTGCACATGCAGCTATAAATAAATAGGGAAAAAATATGCATTGACAGATATAAGTGCTAGAGCTTGGTGTTGTTATTGTTTTTTAATATGCTTGACTCAGTGAACCAATCCCATGAAAGACTAGCTGACTGCAATTACAGCCCTGGTTATTTCATAATCAAAATATAACTGTCAAAAAAAAATCGCTCTGCAAGTGAAGGGCATGAGGAACTTGGCTTCTTTGTACAAATAACGAAAGGTGGAATTACTCAATCAAATGTCTACTTTTATGGAAAAAAAAGCATTAAATGCACCTTTTTTCATTCATTAACATCCACAAAAGCCCTCTGACTTTATTCAATGCCTTGCCCTGTGCTTTAAATGTGTCCTTGTAATTCTATTCAGATCTTAATTCATAAAAAAGGTACTTTCATCCTCTGTTATTGTAGCAACTTATTACATTTTAAGCAAAACAAATTTGCTTTTTTTTCTCTCACCAAAACAACTTGTAGATATTCTCCTTAATTATTTTCTCAGATATATATGCATTCGCTCAGTGTTTATTTTGACAACAGAATGCAGTGCCCTAACTGTCACACTTGTTGTCACGTTGAGAAAGTTTGCTAGTCTTATACTATCAATAGTATATTTCAAAAATCCATTCACCCTACTACACTGGTTTGGGGCAGCATGTGTGTTTATAGGAACGTTCATATTTACAGAAGTTTTACCACTGAAGACCAAGGCAGTGGAGAAGAAAAAGCAGTAGAAGAAATCCAATTTTATTTTTCATATTGTAGATCTATTTTTCTGTCATATTAGATGTATAGATAGCCTACTTTTACCACTATTATTGACACTTAACTCTATTTGAGTGTAGAGAATCATTGTTTCCCAGTGTATGTTATATGTGTCAATAATTGATAGAAAAGGTTGCCATATCGAGGAAATCCTATCGTTTTCTTATTTAAATATTAACCTACTGAAATAGTAAAGGACTTATCAAGCAGAATCTGGAACAGTCCATTTACAGTTTAAGGGATTTCAATATTAAAATACAAGAATCGAGCTACCAACAGTATAGAGTCTGGTCAGAATGTATACTAGTGCATTCCGGTCTGGCTGTAGACTGGTGGCAAAAGCCAATTTTTCAGTTTTAGTTAAGATTGTTAAGAAGATAATTAGCATGATGATGACAAACATATTCTCATTATGAATGTGATAAAAAATAACATGATTTTATAAACTATATTTATGTTATTGATTTAGACAAAATATGATAAGAAGCTAGCAAAATGTTTATAAGACTTACATTGGTGCTATCACAAAACTGAACAGCGATATTTTTTCAAATCCTAACTTAAAAAATTATTTATGTCAAAAGTAACCTAGAAAGACAAGTTTACACTTATTGCATAATAATTATTTGCATACACTTTAACAACTCGTAGTATTTTAATCTTTTAAACCACTTAGTGAAAAAACAGATTTAGTTTGTGTTGGTAATAAGAGATTAATACACAGCAGAGTAGGGCAGGAAAGTAATAATCGACCCACAAAATGAATAATGGCCCTGAGGGCATTTCATGGCCGATTAACACTTTCAGGTCCATCTATGACTACATTTAGTTTGTTACCGTATTTTTGTGCAATCATTTATTTTTAGGACAATTGAACACACACAAAATGTGTCTGCAGACACATGTATAAATCTGGAGAGTAACAAAGATGGTTTACCTATTGTTCACATTCTCTTTTGGTTAAGTTTTTTGCATGCAAGGTGGTATCAGAAAAAACTACTGAAGGAAATTTGGTTAAAACTGAGAGCACAATAGGTCACTGTCCAAGGCCCATAACATCATGCATTTTGACAGAATTATGGCTCTTTTTGGAGTATCTTAGAAATTTCCATGCATTGTTTTTTACTATCAAGCACTGAGAATAATTATGCACGCTGTCCTACCAACAGCTTTTGTTATATTGTAGCATCTTTACTTTATTTTGATATCGTGTGGTATGGCATAACAATCACTTCTTACATTTTATTGTTTGCTTAATTTAATGAATGAGAATAGCTGATATAAACTTGCTATTTTGATGAATGTTTATCTTATGTTTATGTTAACTCATATTGTCTTTATTTCCTTACACAACAATAGTATTATAGACTTATTACTGATGTATTCTTAACTTGCATATCAATTTATTGTTCTAGTTTCACTAAATTTTCCCTGTTTTTTAATGTTATGATTTTTTTACATACATTTATATAATTTTTATGGATTTTCAATGTATAATATTATAGGTACCAATAGGTCAGTGTTAAATTGGTTCATTTGTTGGAATTCACATGCCAGAAATTTACCTTCAATTAGGTGTCAAGAAAATAAGAAACAAATTTTTGGATGATTTTTGTAGGTGATCCAACGTAACTTATTTCATGAATTACAAGACGCAATTGTTCAATTTGAATTTTTTGCTTGAAATTTAGTAGGTCACTTTAACCTGACATGAAATAAGTCACTTGAACCTGACACGAAGTAAGTCATTTGAACCTGACATGAAATAAGTCACTTGAACCTGACATGAAATAAGTCACTTGAACCTGACATGAAATAAGTCCCTTTAACCTGACATGAAATAAGTCACTTGAACCTGACATGAAATAAGTCTCTTTAACCTGACATGAAATAAGTCACTCACATGACATGAAATAAGTCACTTTAACCTGACATGAAATCAGTCACTTCACCTGACACGAAGTAAGTCAATTGAACCTGACATGAAATAAGTAATTTGAACCTGACATGAAATAAGTAATTTGGACCTGACATGAAATAAGTCACTCGAACCTGACATGAATTAAGTCATTTGAACCTGACATGAAATAAGTCACTTTAACCTGACACAAAGTAAGTCAATTGAACATGACATGAAATAAGAAAAATGAACCTTACATGAAATAAGTTATTTGAACCTGACATGATATAAGTCATTTGAACCTGACTTGAAATAAGTCACTTGAACCTGACACAAAGTAAGTTACTTTCACCTGACATGAAATCAGTCATTTGAACCTGACATGAAATAAGTCATTTAAACCTGTCATGAAATAAGTCATTTAAACCTGACATGAAATAAGTCATTTGAACATGACATGTAATAAGTCACTTTAACCTGACACGAATTTAGTCATTTAACCTGGCATTAAATAAGTCATTTGAACCTGACATGAAATAAGTCATTTGAACCTGACATGAAATAAATCATTTGAACCTGACACGAAGTAAGTCACTTTAACCTGACATGAAATAAGTCATTTGAACCTGACATGAAATAAATATGAAATAAGTCATGTAAACCTGGCATGAAAAATGAGTCTGACATTATGTAGGTCATTTAATCAATTGAACATGACAGGTTGCTTTATATGACATTATATGTGTTTATCCATATACAGTAGAATAAATATGTTCAGTTATAAAATCGGTGTTAAAACCTTTTAGCAGCATGTGTTATTTCAGTTGTTAATTTAACTCTTTGTTCTGTTCTTTTATTAAGTGTTAATATGTTGTATGTTTGTGTGATATGATTTAATGTCAAGATTGCATATAATAGTTAATATTGTTGAAAATGATACATGTATTGTAAATAAAGTAAACAAAATGTGTTGATGCAAGTTCTTTATTGTACTCCTTCTACTCACAAGGATTTGAAAAATGTTTTTTGTATTGTTTTTTTTTGTGTTTTTTTTTTAATTCATTTCCTCAAATTATATTTATGAGCAAATTCACTCAAGCTGTCCAGTTAGTGTTTGGAAGTTTGATAGTTCTTCCCAGTTGCTCGTTTTTGAACAATGCTCTGAATGGCATTGAGTCCTTCTCCACATGTAAACAAAGCAGAATAAGTCACGATAATACTTTTTTTTACAGTGTAAGAGTGACATAAATCTGACCAGATAATAGCCCAAATGAGTAACTAGTAAAGGAAAATTTCTTGTCTAGATACTTTTGTGTTTTCCAAAGATATTCATATTATCTTTCACACAATTTTTGCATATTTGTAAAAGTTGATTTAATCGTGTTCTGTAATATTTAACGCTACACCCACGGTAACGATGGAACATATTCTGTTATGTTTTGATAGAACACAATAGAGTACAGCATTTCTGCAAAACTAACCGATTTCAAACATATTTTATTTAACTTATACTACATTGTTAGGCCATCCATACATAAAATGTTGTTACTTAGATGATATATATTTAGATGTAAAACTAGGGTAAAAATCATTCACCTTTCATTTAAGCAGCTAAAGCCCCAGTCACATTAGAGCTTACGACCAGTGAAGACCAGTTCACGATCACCAGTGACCTCTGGTCGCGGACAATCTTTAAAACGTCTTACGACGGTAATCGGTGATCTTTGACAGTCGCAGGCTATCTTATTTAGGTCCCACGACCAATTTCAGTCGTAGAGAGGTTTTTGAGCTTGCACTAAAACCTCCTTGCGATCAAACAGGTCGCTAGTGATCTTATAAGGTCTTAGGCTGTCGCACGATGGTCGTTCAGAAGTGCGACAATCTTACGACAGTCTTTACAAATTGCCACTAGTCACTGATAATCTTGAGTAGTCTAGTAATCGTGTGATGGTCGTACGACTAGTTGTAGGTGGTCGCATGACAGGTCACGGGTAGTTGTAAGTAATCCCACACAATCTTGAGACCATCGTACGTTTGCTTATGACCTGTCGTGCGATTGTCAATGATGACTGGTCATACGATAGTCGCAGAAGTAAATTTATACGTGCAAAAATGGTTTTGGTCGCAGACAATCGCTGATGATCGTCAGTTTTACAAGTCACCGGTGGTCGCAAGTAATCTTAAGCTCTAGTGTGACTGGGGTTTAACATAGATGATCATACATGGAGCAACAATTCAGACTTTACAATAAGGAAACTTACATGATTAAATAGGTTTTTTTTCATGTGACATGAACCCAACCGAGAACAGCCTAGCCTTTTTTTATATATTTGTGACATATTGAAGGAATACTTTCTTCCTTTAATAAGTTATCACACTGAAGATACTATTCATTTTCTGGACAGAGATAGGCAACTCCCTAGCCTGTTAAGATGTGACTCGTGCATGCTAAACTAATAACTTGTAGCATAACATATAGTATATCGATATGCTTAAACATGTCGCCACCAATTGTAACAGCTAACCTTAGCAAATAATCACACTGTTCAGACGGTGTTAACAGAACGAGTGACATGTAATCACAGTGACCATTAATTTTTATCATCAAATTCCACAAACGTGCACGTATACGTGAGTTAACTTCACAGTACAAGCCCCCCCCCCCCCCCCCCCCGTTGTAATAATGACATCAAGGGCATTGCATTTAAACTGACATTGACCCTTCCTTGGCTTAAAACTTGTTGATTAAGAATCCGCTTCCGGAAATATACCTTCCCTTATGTATGTATAAATAACGTCAAATAATCCGTACTTTTGTAGAATTGCACATATAGTAGGAATAAATCCAGAAGTCTGCTAATCATAATTAAGGTAACAAACAAGGCGACTGTTGAAAATATGTTTAGCAAGATATACACCAGAAAGTCTACATAATTGTCCAAGGAATGTTCAACGATAATGTCAATTGGAACGGCGTCTAATGCACTCAATGCAAGTTCTGTTGATGGAAATGCCTGCATGTTTTTAATACAAAATATATGGGACCTTTCGAGCTGCAATTCCCAGCATGAAAATATCTTAGAATCTAGCTTTGGCACGTCGATATATTTTGACTATTATATGCACATGATGAAAAACTGGCTCAGTGGGTATTTTCAGCGGCGTTATTTTAAGGGAAAGACATAGAAATTTACAATGTTTTAACATGCATCAATAGAAAAATGGTTATATACTATAAAAGGATAAATCTACGTCCAATACGTTTTAATTGCTACAACTTGCCTATTTTTCTCATTTTGCTAGGATGAGTGGTATTTCAATGGAGCATTTAGGAGCTACTTACCTATGTTATCTACATCTCTGGCGTAGAATTTACACTTTGTCAATCATATGGGAATTATCGTTTATATAAAAGTCTCCTGTTTCTTTGTTTATCCGTCAAATTACAATGACAAAGCACATTGCAATAACAAAAGTTACCATAGAGGTAACAAAAACTATCATAAATATCTAATACAGACAAACACATGGTATACTTGCGGTAAAGACTGGCTGCTTAAGAAATGAAATTTAGTACAAAATCTACGAGAATTAGTTATTATATATAACTATGTATATGTACTCGATTTTATCTTAATATATCTTATTTCATTTCGGTATGATTTCAAACAAAAAGAAGGCTTAAAATAAGAACACAAACAATTTAGATATTGTTACACATTCATAAAGTTAGCTATTTTAATTACATTGATTATTTGTAGTATAGGGTGGTTCACAGGGGTGTCGTAAAGCGTCAAAGTTATTGTAAAATAGTGTGAAATTAATCAGATCCAGGAAACATGATAATTATTTCATCAATAATTTACATAATTAGCCACATGGTTAACAGATGACATCAACATAAGTTTTTGTCAATAACGGATATCCTGTTGTGATAGTTTCCCTTCAAACAAAGACATAAGAAACTTGTATATATAAAGTTGCCGGTGGTTAGATGTATTTGCATAGTTCAGTATATAAAGAGATAAGAGACGGTGGTTATTCGGTAATTTATTTTACGGACGGTGACAATATTTGAAGAAAAAAAAAACATGTCTGAAAATACTTTTGTAAAAAAGCGTCATATTTGGATATTTATTGTGTTCATACTTATGCTACATATAATTATATATGTAATGACTGAAGTAAAATTTAACGGAAATATTCGAAATAAACCCGATGTTTTAATGAATGTGTACACGAGATGGACAGGGGTAAATATTAATATATACTTGCTTATAATAATTTTAAGGCATATATCGTTTTTTAAGTGTCTCTTTTTTGTATAAATTAACACAAATTAATGTCAAAGTGTCGGTTTTACCATAAGATCTTTACAATTTGTCATTTTATATATTTAGTGTAAAGTAGAACATACATTTATTTATGGATACATTATAAGTATTAAATATGTAACGTACGTATTTGAGACAGGCGTTTAAAATAGTATATCAAAACGGTGTTATGATTATTTTACTATTACAAGTACTCGTGGGCTATTTTACATCTTTTTTCTGAACAAAACTTCTGATTCAGCCACTTAATTACCACTTCCGCTATAAATGAAAATATTACAACAAAGTTTATTATTCATGGTAACTTTGTACAATACGATAAAACCATTGACATCTGTTCCCTCATCAAATAACAATTCTTTCAGGAGTCTATGTTGTATCCTGGTTACAGATCTCTCTTTCATACAGCTGGAGGAGTTGTAGTTGACACACATTAAAACATTTATATTGCCTTCTAAATATATTTTATTAAATTACAAGATGCAAGATAAAACATTATGGTGTAAAAATGATTTGCATTTTGGTTAGTGGAAATATACTGTATTTGGTAGAAATGTTGGTATATTGGGCGTCTGCTTGTCATTTTAATATTTAGACACGACATGGAATAATTCTAATATGAGACTTATTTATTAACATTGCAAATATATAAATTCATCCAGTCACTCATTCTGCATTTTTTTTGTGTCATCAGTATCAGAAGACTTCCCATTTTTATTTCAGATTTCGGTGAGATTCAGGAGTTTAATTGGGAAGTTACTCGTAAACGGACCTAAAGTTGCTGGACATGCAGCAGACGACAAGACGAAAACAAAATATTCTGAAAACGAAGCTGATATATCCGTGATAGTTGATCGTTAAAATCATGAAATCAGAAAAGACATATACCTATTATATTCAGGATTCAGTTAAAAAGAGTGGTTTGGATTTCACATCCTTATTTGAGAAAAAAGATTCTGGGGCAGTTGGTAATCTGCCAAATAGTCGTTGATATCGGTTGCTTGGTAACAAAGGGTCAAGTAGTTCGACACCAGAAAGAAAGCAACAAAAAACAACAACAAATAATCTTAAAATTAATTACATAGTCTATGGATAATCAAGAATTATAAAGAAATTATAAATGATAAGAATTATAAATGATAAATCGTAGAGGGTTTTTATAAAAACAACGAAGTTTCCCTACAATGAAATCAATACGCGTTAAAGCCCATGTGACTTAGCACGTGAACGACATATGTCTGAAGTCAGTAACGGACAGGAATGTCAATGTGTATGTTAACTATCATCTTTTAATAAACAACAACAACAACGTTTTTTAATCATTATTGCTTCTCATAATATGTAATAATTTTCTTCTCTGAATATGTTATAATTTTCAACACTAGCTATGCTGTAATTGTAAATATATATATACACGTGCCCTCAGTTATAGCTGATCTGCAAGTTCTGTCAGTGCTTTGATTGAGGCATGTCTTCTATTTTTCAGGAATATAAATAGACATTTAGACATGGTAATGATTTCTGTAATATAACAAACAAAACAATTTAATGGAAATATGACTGTTTATTACTAATCGGAAGTCAGTTATTTACGATAACTGTAAATCGTGTAGTTAAAAGTGTGCAAACCTTTTCAACTTATTTGACTTTTGTCCAGCTGATATGTCATTGTAACTGACAAAAAAGAAATTCACCGAAATTGTTTCAGTTGTTTTACAAAAGTGTTTAGTTATATTTAGCTTCCCAAATTTTAGAACCTCGTAACAATGGATCACTTGATGGCCATAAGTTATTGTACAGAAGTGTAAATGTTATTCAGATTTCAGATAAGAAAGTTACAGTTCCAGATATACATGTATGATCATTTCTTTATCGTTATGAATTTACATAATTATCCAGATGACATGCAGATAAATCTTATGTCCATAAAGGTGTTCCTGGTGTGATATATTTTTTTTTTTCGGTATGAGATAAGTATATTCATTCGTTGGCAGTATTACAATAAGCTTTATGTTTTAAAGGCTGTATCTAAGAGATGAACAGGAGTTAATATATTCAGTGCACATTTTAATTTTGGTCAACGTATAAGAAAGGGAATAACAAAAAAAAACAAAACAAGATTAATAAAATTGTTTTTATAAAGCTTATATTTGCTGTCGCTAGCGTTTAGATACATTCAGATTTATTCGTTTAATTCATTTATGGTTGTATATTTATATGTATTGTATTAGAAAAAAGAACATAAATAAAATTTCTATCGTCTTGTGTCGATAAGTAATTGGACAATTACATTAAATTTTGCTACATATTCCCTTAAGCTACCACGTATATAGCATATATCAATGCAATCTTTCAAATCTCTTATCTAAAACGTGACCGCATGAAAAGCTTTATAGCAAAAAATTGAAATTGATTTTCGCTATAAGTACTAGGTATTTGTAATAAATTGTCTGTTGACTGCTGTATTAAATAGGATATAAGGTCAAGTTTGGGGAAGTTTGTAAGTGCTGCTCTTCCCCTCAGTTTAGCTATTTAATAACGTCACAGTATTTTGTATCAAATAGAAAATGCACGCGTGTATTATTGGACTGAAAAAGACAAAGTGAGAATAAAGATGGATATTGTAGCTCTCAACAAAACCCCTGTATGACGCAGAGCACGAGAGGACACAAAAGGAGGGACATTGAGCGAGGCACCAATAACGTAAATAAATTTACAACAAAATAACGTAATCCTTAAATTACTTCAAGTACAATGAAACTAACACTTTTAAAAGCAAGCAAAACAACACAGTTGTATCAAATTGTTAGGCTTATATTATAATTAATTATCGTTAAATCTTTTTTGGAGTTTTATTTTAGTAAGAAAAAATAAATTGGAACAAAATGCCTTAAAATCAATTTGCAAACAACTTATGCTTGATCAAGACATTTTTTTAAATAAAAAAATAGACTTTCCAAACATGTACATAACTTAAGTCTGATGCGTAAAGAATTTATAGACAGATAAATCGTAAAGACATGACATATATTAAATATAAGAGTTACCTCCCTTGAAACGTCAATGAGTACATGAATAGTTTTTAAATTAAAGTTGGTTGAATAAGTGGCATATACTAGGCATACGGAAACAGACGAACATGCGTTATAATCACTTCTTAGGGCCATTAGAAGCATAGTTTATATGAACTAAATATCTCTGGCTCGCGAAAACAATATACATGTATACACTTGAGTTGGCAGCGTAGCAACACAGCATCCAAGCAGCTGAATCAGTAAATTTTACATTTTCTGTCACCACTGCAGTGATCTGTCACCAATGTTGCTGGTAATTTAAATGTTCAGCAAATGTTTTATCATATTGCCTTTTTACAAATATTTAATTGGGATATATCGTATCGAAATTATTAGAAAAGTATTGTTAGTGGCATAGCATTCTTCGATTTTTGAAAAACAAGGATGTTCTTTTAAATCGGATATTTTTAGTAACTGTGTTTATCTTTTCAGCTTTGCTTTGGTCGACGGCTCTTCAACGGAAGTGTTGAGGGCTCTTAATGCATTAAAAGTATCATTTAAGAACAGTAACAATATATTAATAACACTGTTTATGGGAAACAGTAAGAATATCATCCCGAGGGAAATACTGTTACCCGAGGCTTAGTCGAGGGTAACAGTATTTTCACGAGAGATTGTATTTTTGATGGAAAATCTTCTCGCCAAAACAGTCCGACATGTAGAACAGTGTAGTATTCGGTTATCAAATCGCTAAAAATAGCATTTTCATTGATTCATCCGCGTAATTTGTGTTTGTGCGTTTATTGACAATTCTATATGCCAGCGCTACATTTAAACTTCGAATGCGTTGTAATTAGTAGACTCTTTTCTTTAGGATTTCCGGAAAAATAATACAACGCTTTCATCAAGTTTCAATTCTTTGGGTTAATAGTGTATACATCAGTTTTGTTATACAGAAACTGCACATATATACTAACATTTAATATATCTTATCATCAATATACAGAAATAGGTTTCAGCATCATTTCATAAGGCGCTATGTTAAGTGATTTTATGATTTCCTAAAGTATAAGTAAACAACGCTTTTATCAAGTTTTGATTCTTTGGTCTAATATTCGTTTTATTTAGGATTAAACGTTATAACATGAAGTACGTCAGTTCTCATTCAGGGAAAGTTGCTTAATAAAAGTTTAATACATATTCCAATGTGATTTAGGAGTCTTTCCTAAATAGAGACTTACTAAAATTCAGTATTGATGTTTTCTGTTCAGTTTTGAATTATCGCGCCTAAGCAACTTTAGTGGGCGTTGTTGTTCCAAAATGAGGACTGTCGCTCTATTTATAACCTTTGAGCCGTTTAGGAATTTAGGAAAGGATTCCCGACCAATCAGATTGCACTTAGGATTTATCTAAGCCAATCAGAATCGGTTAGGATTTCCCATCCTAAAATGAGTAAACAGCTCAACAGATCATAATAACAAAATACAAAGTAAACATATAAAGATGTAAGTAATCATTATGTTGAGAAATAACACTCACGCTTATAAATACATCTCAATTAAATACTTATGGTAATTTAGCAGGATTATTACAATTTAAAGAGAATTAGGGTGATTCCAAACCCAACTTTACGACGCGAATGACCAAACAAATAGTGCGGTCTCGTTTTACAAAAATAAACTATTACAGTAAATCTCTTGAACAATTTGAGAAGCAAACATTATAATCACATAATACAAAATACATGTTACACAATAAAGTCAAATATGCTTCATTTCTAAACAAACTACAGATATCGGTACTCGTGTACCTAAAACAAAGATGGCAGCCTCCATGAACATTTTGGGAAAGTTTTAGGAATTATTATTTTGACAAAAATAAATTGATTAAAGCATGTTTCATGAACAATTACTGATTATAACATCAAAACATAATGGATACTACAAAAATGTGGAGTAACAGACATGTTAATCCAGGAATAAAGAAATAATCGTGCTTCCTAAAGTGTCAACAATCTAACATGACATTCGGAGAAAGGTAATTTTCAATTTTAGGGAAGTTTATACATAGTGAATTATTAGAATGCTGAAAACAATAATATGAAAAAGGCAAAGCCTCAAAGCGAGCTCGATGTACTTGTATGAAAGCTCATTTTTATTTCAAATGCAGTGACGAGTGCGTGTGACGTCACACGTACTGTGTTAAATATGGCCCCGCCCCTGTCGTGAAATGAATAAATCGAGTTTTGAAAACGTTGATAAAACTTTGTTTATTTTATTTCATTCTATAAGAAAAAATTTTTAAAAAAAGAAAAAAATTTTTTTTTAAAAAAAAAAAAAAAAAAAAAGGGGGGGGAAAAAAAATTTTTTTTTTGGAAATTTTTTTTTTTTTTTTTAAAAGGAAAAAATTTTCAATTTTTAAAAAAATTTTTTTAAAAAAAAAAAAAATTTTTTTTTTTAAAAAAAAATTTTAACCTTTTTTTAAAAAATTTTTTTTTTTTTTTTTTTTTTAAAAAAAAAGGGTTTTTTTTTTGGGGGGGGTTCCCGGGCCAAAAAGGGTTTTTGGGGGGGGCCCGGGCCCCAAAAAAAAAATTTTTTTTTTAAACTTTTTTTTTTAAAATTTTTTTTTTTTGGGGGGTTTTTTTTGGGGGGGGAAAAAAAAAAAAAAAAATTTAAAAATTAAAAAAATTTTTTTTTTTTTTTTTTTTTAAGGAAGAAACAAAAAAAGGGAAAAAAAGGGAAAAAAAATTTTGGGAAAATTTTTTTTTTTTCCTTTTTTTTTTTAAATTTTTTTTAAAAAAATTTTTTAAAAAAAATTTTTTTTAAAAAAAAAAAAAAAATTTTTTTTTTAAAATTTTTAAAAAAGGGAAAAAACCCCCTTTTTTTTAAAACCTTTTTTTTTTTTTAAAAAAAAAAACCCCCCAAAGGGGGGGGTTTGGTTTCCCCAAAACCCCCCTTTTTTTAAAAAAAAAAAAAAAAAAAAAAATTTTTTTTTTTCCAAAAAAAATTTTTTTTTTTTCCCCCCCTTTAAATTTTTTTAAAAAAAAAAGGCGGTGAAATTCCAAAAAAAAAAATTTTGGTTAAAAAAAAATTTTCCGAGTGAAAAGGAAGTTGGTAAAAATATAATACCGGGGAAAGCAACCTTTTTAAAAAAGGAAAAAAAGAAAAAGGGTTTTTTCCGACTTCCCCCTTCAAAAGGGTTTGCCTTTTAAATTTCAAAATTATTAAATTTTTTTATTTATTATAAAAATTGTTAAATAAAGGGAGAAAACTTATTTTGATAAAAAAAGCAGTAGATAAAACAAATTTTGAAAAAAAAATAGTATATCAAAAATTTTTTGATATATCGGGGGCCTTTGGGGGCAAGAGATTTTTACGCCGAAAAATTAAGGGGGGATCATGTGGGGGAGAAATTTAAACAGGTATCGCGTTACGTAAAGCTTTGCTTTGCGAGGGCAGGCCCTTTTCCCCGGGGCCCCGCTCGTCGAGCTCGCTAATAAAGAAAAAAGGGAAAACCTCAAAGCGAGCCCCGATGTACTTTTTTAAAGTGAAATAAATATGAAAAAAAACCGCTAAATTTTTTTTTCAAAAAGCAGTGAAAGGTGCGTGTGACGTTTAAAACATAAATGTGTTTTAAAAATGGCTTCCCCCCCTGTCCCGGGGTTTTGGAAAAAAGTTTTATAAAACTTTGTTTTTTTTAAATTTTTACTCTAATAATTTTTTTAAAAGCGAAATAAAGTTTAAATTAAAAGTGAAAAAAAATGAAAAACCTTTAAACTTTTGGGCCAAAACTTTAAAAAAAAGGGCGTATTTGATTTGTTTGTTTTTGCACGTGCTGTTTGGGCGCTAAAATTGGGTGACGTCACGTAAACAAAAATTTTTTAAAGTCTGTACAGCTTTAACGACTGAATAAAAGAAAATTGGGGGGTTGGGATTATTTTCTTAGTTAGATAAATTTTTTTTCATTCTAGATATTTTTTCACAAAAAAATTTTCGAAAAAAAATTTTTTTTATTTTTAATTTTTCAAAAAAAATTGGCCCGCCTTAAAATTTTTCATTTTACATTTTCCCCTTTTTAAAAAACTATCTTGGGATATTTTATACCCCAGTTTCCTTTAAATTCTGGTTCCCGCCCAAATTTAAATGGTTAAATAAAAAGTGCGGGGGTTGCCCAAAGCCCCTACACATCCTTTTTCCCCCAGTCAGAATTCCTCATTTTTTTTTATCTTTTTTATTTTTAA